ATGTGTATATTTGAAACCATGTACATAAAGGTGAAGCCAGAAGAAGATCTAATTGCAAACAATATTGTCCGCCTACATGTCTTGTTTCAACATGACGAAAACAGAGGACAAACTGACTAGCATACTTGTCCTTTGAAGGAGAGTTGGATAACCTATGGACAACAGTGGTGATGAAAGAGAGAACAAACCAGATCTCCGAGATTCATGATAAGATTTTGATACTAGGAATTTATCCCCGTCAAGCATATTCGTAAGATGATAATTGACAAATATTGTGTAGATCTGAGTACATCTAGAAATTTAGGAAGTGCATTTCTTTAAAATGCATGCCTACGAATTCCTTCAAACTATTGAGGTTCACTATCTGGAACCACTGTAGTCTTCGACAAATATTAATTTTAGAAAAAAGGGTGTTACAGAGACACCATATCTGAAAACAAGCAAACATAGTGAATTTCTTCCTCTGAATATAGAATATCTTGTCCGATAAATAAGGAAGAAATAGTTCAGAATTTACAGCTTTATAAATTCTACAGCACGCCAACAATTTCCTGAACCTGTTTCTTCTCAGAATGCAGAGTTACGGTTGTGTTTGAGCGAATTGCAATCACCTCTGCTCTTTGGAGTATTCGTTATCTAGAGGCTTTCGACAATTTATCTGGCACCCAATAGATGATAGACAAACATTCTTCAATACCAGCTTTATCACGTCTGTTGGACCAGATGGCTTAATATAGAAGCAAGACCAGGTTGCTACGTATCACTGAAGCGATTGCCACTAGACGATTCAAACAGAATTTACGCACCTAGAAGGAAACTGTTGTCAATCTCGTACACTTTGTTTTGACAACGTAATTCCCTGTCCTTCATTTTGTCATCTGTATTCCTGACCGGACTATCTTTGATCTCTGTTCAACTAAACTATGCAATGATCACGTCTACTGTTGTTGATTTTACACCTCTACACAATTATGTAACACTCGTTCGTAATTCCAGAATATTCTTTAGTAATTTCGATACATACTCACACACTTAACAGCAAGTTGCATTCCTTTCTATCATGTTATTGAACTACGTGATATTAACGCCCTTCACCTTATGATCAATAACTATGGTATGTGAACAATTTGTGTATTGTCAATAGAAATTTGTTAATTGTTGTGGTATATGTGGTTGAGAAGATCCAACACAGAATAAAATGACTTCACTTGTTCCTGCTTAATCTGTTCTTCTGGTTTTGTTTAAGTTTCGTTGTGATAAACATTTTGAAGTTTCTGAGAACAATGGTTATTTTTCAGATAACTAGTCCTTATACTAATACACCAATCAGTATAGCTATAGAAGCAGTTAGGTAAGAACTAACTGCTGATCCTGAATTCACTCATATAAGACAAAACCACATTCCCATTGAAGATATTATCTTACGAAATTCAATGCAGTCTGTACCAAACATCAAGGACTAGACACATTACACTAGTGACTGATTAGAGTCCCATCAATATTCCCAATCTTTATAGATAGATAGCTGGGGAAAATATGGCTCTTAAAACGCTTAATCCTACCTCACAAAATAATGGTCGAGATACATGGATGACAATTTCACGATGTTTGAAACAAGAATACATCTTAAGCTTCTCGACACATATAAACTCAATAGTAGAGAATTAAATTTAATGCTGTGAATCATAAAATGTTAAAATAAAACGAACAGAAGGGAACTGTGCACTAGCGTTCATGGAATGTCAGTGCATTCTGCTCATAGATATTTAGACTTTAATTCATCTCATCATTCATTATCTGTAAAGGCAGGGCTTAGTTAAGTGTCTAACAAACTCAGTAACAGCACTAAGTAGTACATCAAAAAACCTAAATGATAAAATGAAACAGATAGAAATTCATTAAGACCAGAAAACTCACAACGGAAGGGAGGACAGCAGTGCACCTATTGTTTATAATATAAGAAAGAATTTAAAGCATCTACAGTTTTACCAATATGAAGGGGCATCTGACATTACACGTAGCATGCATAATAAAAGCAGGAATCATGGTGGCATTACAACATACCAACTCACTCAGGTAGGACAAGCTCCGTAGGCTAATTAACTTAATTTACCAATTGCCTTGCAATGACTGTGAGGTCAACAATAGACCATACAGACCAGCAGATCTACGGTAGGTAGATTATCGGAACATAAGAATTCAGCTAATTGTAGGGTGACTGACGTCACGAAGATGAATTATCATTTTATTAGTATTGTTCCCTTCGATTCCTAGTGGACCATAGGGCTTCAACTGCACGTCTCCACTTGCTTCTGCTGTACTTTTCACTTGCATCCATGTTAGTCCATACTGTTTCAGCTCCTCTTCACACGATCTCCTCCATGTCACCCTTGGACGTCCCACTCGCCGCTTCCCTTTCGGGTTCCACTCGAGCACTGGCCTGACGCGCGATGTCACCCAGCGGCCTCCTCAGCGATTGTCCAATCCATCTCCACTTTCTCCTGCATATTTGTTGGGCGATTGGTTCTTGTTTTGTTTGTTCCCATAGTTTGTTGGTGATTCTTTCCGGCCATCTGATCTTCAGTATAGAGCGAAGACAGTTGTTGATAAAGGTCTGCAACAGGCTGTTGGAAATATTCTTTGTGACCCACTGGCCAAGTTTCTGATCCGTATAGAAGAACTGACTGAATTGACGTTTGTATTGAAAATCCGAATTTTGTTGTTGATGCTGAGTGACGAAGATTTCCAGATTGGTTTCAGGTTGATGATGGTTTTCTCGCCTTCCCGATTCTCGATTTGACATCCTCGTCCGTTCCTCCTGTAGTTGAGACAATGCTCGAAGATGAATAGTTTTAAGGAATAGGGTGGGACAGAGCTACAATTCTAAACCTTAATATGGTTAGACGAAGAGGCAGGCAGGCTGATCACCGAATCTTTGGTCCATCTAATTTACACACCTAACACGTGCAATAGAAATGTCATACACCAATACTAGAGATATAGAAAGGATCGTTTCCAAATAAAATCAGAGAACAGGAAACAACAAAAATACATCAGCGAAACCTGGAGGTTATGTGAGCAGCTTCGTATGATTACGACGAGTAACAAATTGTGCTCGAGACGTCATCAGCAAATAAGCAATATTGTATCGTTTGTCTTATGAAGTAAAATTATGGAATTATCAGTGCCTGAATTCTATACATATAGCAATACTCTTCCCCTGTATGAAGAAACCCAATCAGACCTTGACTTTGGTAATGTGAAGAACAACTAGTAACCGTAAGGTCGATTGTCTAAACGCAAAGGCTACAGGTACTTCTTAAGTTTAGTAAACAAATTTCAAATATGCTACAGTACTAAACTAACAGGACAGACGTGAGGTTTAGAACTGACCATGAGTTTCCTGAAATTGATTGCCAATTGAGAGACATCTGTATCGATTGCTTACTCATTCGAAGTTATTGTAGTAAGTCTTTTTAACTGATTGACTCTCATCTCATTGAGCCCATCACGCGCATGCTGAACTCTGTGTAAGTACATCAACAATATGGAAGTGCATTGTCTTTTAAGTGTGAATCTCATAGACCAGATCAATAACCCGATTTATAAATGGATATAATTAAAACCGCGTGTTCGATGACCGCATAATACATTTGCTAGTTAACATAAGAAGAGTAACAAATATTATTACATTGTTATATTGAAATATTATCACGTTCTTGGTAGAAATCTCAACCTGATAACGGCTATTATCTAGTAACTAATTGTTTCCATGATGATATGTACGCTAGCTACATGTAGCGGAGAAAAATGTTTCGTACGAAGTAAAAATGTCAATCTGCTGCAGTATTTACAAAATTGCATTATTTCTGTCTGTTGTCAACATAGAACTTTGCACCGATGTGCAGCAATTCGAGTCGCCACACTCCATATATCACACAAAGCAAGAGAAGAAATGCAAAACAGAGACAGTACACAGGGATATGAGACAAAACGAATAGTAATAACGAAGAGCAATATAGTTTCATTGAGTATTACAAGTCACAAGGAGTGGATACATCTGCGCTACTGACAACGATTTTGAGCAATACCACCGATTGTCTCCAGCTTTTGGTTTTACCGTCCCGAGGACCCCAACCAGAAAGTCTACACCTTTCTACTTGTATTATTTACAGATTGTTTAAGAAGTGGAATCAAAAGCAACAATAAGGGATGAGTAAATGCACATCTCCACCAACCTGATGTCATAATGCTGTCAGCATAACTTAGGATGTGCCGGCTAAGCCTGCAATTCATGAGCCAGGACTTACGAAAAGGCTAGTCATCCTCCTTAACCAGTAATGTCTTCATTCCATCTCCCGTGTTAAGTGGTATAATATGGTGAGCAATATTAGGACAAACAGTGCTGGAGGGAGAAAGGAAATCGACCAATAAGATTGTGAAGCTACACTGATTGGTACAGCTAGGACAAATGTTACACATGACGAGCCAACAGTTCCCTCTTACAGCTGGTTTCCGCTAGCCACGTAGGGACCACCAAGTTGGCTATTTCGGGATGCTTAGGTACCAACGATTTGGGATACGATTCAAAATCGTTGCCGATTGTATAAATGCATTCACCCTCTATGTTACTACCCTTTATCCCACATATTCCTATCCATACTTCTTTTGATTCCTTATTCTGCCCCCGTGTGTTACATGAAGTGTGACAACTTGAACTGCTGCACACTAAGTTCTGTGTGGAAATTTGGCCAGTCACAATGACTTCTGACGCCCTAAAAATAATTCTAATCCTATATGGAACCAACACAAAAACCTACAACTTATGAATAACTCAGAGGAAATAAATTACTTTTTCTATTACCGCTAAGACTGTGACAACTTCCCTACCGGCTATCCTTAACATCTAAATATTGGACAATGTTCTCCTTTCAACAGACTCACTATTATCAACACAACACAAGGATAGACATGATGTTCTTCTTAGACATAATAGATTACTGCCTACTGTTCACCACACAGCTTACAAGTTACATCAACCACGAAGACCCACACAAAAATATGCCAAACACATCCTCAGAATAAACTCAATGAAGAATATCAGTAAGTTCATCCAACTAACCAGACAAAAGAGAAGGTAAAAGTCAATAGTGTGTCGTTATAAGTGAAGATAAATGTCATTTCCTACAATAACTAATTTTTCAACAGTACACATAACAGCACCTAGTTGAGTACATCTCACAGTTTAACTGCAATACTACTTAAATTGGTTACAGACCACTTCCACATAGTCAACACAAATGTTAACAACGCAAGAATAACACTGAAATTAGTCACCACTTCCTTGAAGATACTCAACTAATTCTTAATCAAAAAACAACCAAATAGGAGCAAAGTTTATAACAACTGCAGAATTAAATGACCCATAATTACATAATTCAAATACAATACAAATTCACAAACCATTCACAGTTAAATGAAATAACAGACATTAATTACTAAGTATGTAGAGAGACAGTAGGGGACCTCAAATGCATCCTGTGAATGTCAAGATATATTTCACGATACTTCTCCACAATTATTCACGCATGTATGTATATACCATTATGGACCTAGTATGGTGCTGGACGCGCTCGACCAGTACCAACACTACTTCCACGCATAGGACCACCACCTCGTCCACCACGATTACCACTCGCCGAAGGATTCACTCCACCACCTCGTCCATATCCAGGGGCATTTTGTTGAGGATTAGAATTCATATTTGCAACAGGAGGTTGAGCAGGACGGCCTATTGCATTCATATTATTATTATTATTCCTGGCATTCGCAGCATTAGCGTCAACATCTCCACCACCACCACCACCAGGTCCATCACGCGTTGACTGTGTAAAAAGAAAAAAGGATATTCAGAACAACCGTGAATACATTTCAAAATTGAGCTGTAAGACATAGACACACTTTACCAAATAATACGCAGTCATATTGAAGAGTCAGGAAAGTTGAACGTTTAAAGATTTTTCCTTGAAAACTATTTCTTAAAATTGAACATTAAGCAAACAAGCTTTATGAAATGTGGACGCTAAGGTATTCTTTAGACAAATGAAATGAAAAGATTAGAAAGATGAGAGGCTTAAGAAGCCATACCATTAAAACAAACACGTTACATAACGGTCTCAATAAGAGGTGCGTTCACCTCACACTGTAGACTATGATACAGGAATCAAATAAAAGAAAATGATTGTCTGAGCCAGCTTAAACGACAAGTGTGGCACGTGGCCTGGTAATTCAGCTTAGATAAAGTGATATTTGAGACAGTTTTCTACCCCACATACTTAAATGATAGGCTGCAGATCCTAACACTCAGTACCTATACACCTTATAAAAAATGTGTCAGCAGCACATGCGAAACTGACTACTCCTAGTCTGCCAGAAAAAACACAACCTACCTGGCATCTGTTACACTGTTCACGCCAGGAAAAATTAATATTGCCACATTGAGGACAACTCCAGTCGCCTTCTCTAGAACCGGCTTGAGCTGAGCCAGAGTGCGTTCGTCCAGCAGCAGGAGCAGCGGCAGCAGAGCCATTTGTGACTGCTCCACGACTTCCTCCTCGAGATGCTGTACTTCCCCCACGACCCATACCTTGATAGTCTTTGGATTCAAAATGAGCAGCTAGTTGGGGATTGTTAGCTGTGAGAGCTGCAAGACTGGCAGCAGCGGCTGCACTATTATTCATCAAACTCGCCACAGTGTTCCCACTGGCAGCTGCAGCTACGGCCGCCACAGCCAGAGCAGCTGCGGGATTGTTCGGTCCATTTCCGTTTCCTCCAAGCAGTCCACCACTACCACCACCAGGAGGGATGATGACTGGTCTCTGACTGTTGATAGCCTGTTTGACTTCAATTTTCTTCCCTAGGAAATCGTGTTCTGAAAAATAAAAAGGAATATTGGTAAATTTAGTGCTTAGGGTGGTTAAATACTACTGGTGACAACATAAAGTTATATACGATAACGTAGTGACAAATCAAAGGTACACAAACGAACCTTTGAACCATTGAATCGCTGCCTGAACACAACTGGGATCTTCATATGTTACAAGTGCCTCTCCTTTAGGTATGCCTTTCTCTTTGAATATCCATATCATAGGCATTCCACTCTTTGAATTGATCTAAATTAATCATTCTCATTGATCCATATGTATGGAAATTACCTTAATTTTTCCCACAACACCAAATTGAGACTTCATTACTTCATGATCAATGGTCTGAGGCAGATTACTGATAAATATTGTATCTTCGCGGAGACCATCAGCTAAACAGAAAAGTATAAATTTTTGATGAACACAAAACTCACGATTCGTAACACTTGGCAGATTGGATCCCGACCGTGAACCTAATGAACGGTAGATAATAAAACAGACGATGTAATAGAAAAATTCTCATAATAGCTGCTGAATTTTCAGCTAGCATATTTTTGAAAAATTGACTGAAAACGACTTACCGCTGAACTTGTTATATCCACCTCTTTGGCTGAAAAACACTAATCTTCGTTAAATTCAAAATAGTGGAAAATACAAAAACACCAGAAGACAACATTGCTTCTGTAAAAAAATATTAAAGTGGGGAGCCAAAAATACCAAGACTCACACATATACCATAAAACCATTGATTGCAAATTACCAATAAGGGTTACCGAAAACAATTGGCGAAAAATACAGCTCCCACTCAAATTGAACCCAAATACGCGACTGATTTTAGTAGAAGAAACTCAAAAATTTTCGATCAAAACTCAAAACACCGTTCGATATTCGCAGGTACCAAAGATATCGCACACTTAACATACCTACTGCCTCTTCCGGTGCCCATTCCACGCGCAGACGAACCAGATGGGTCTTGGAGAAAAGCGACTGGATTAAAACCTGGAATTCATAAACCTTGCCTTGTTTACAAATCTAACCTGCAAGACCTTGCTCATGAGCTATTGCCTCTAAAATCGCCCCATTAGCAGACATTGTTTGCCCAAATGCATTGGCCATTAGTGGGCCGAACTGCTGCATATCTTTAAAACAAAATAAGACTAAGAAGTGTCGCAATACCTGTACTGAATCCTGCTTGGACAGCTGACAGTCCAGGAGGCATACCTTGCCCCATTCCTGGATAGTGGCCGAAAGACGCAGAATAGTTAGGATATGCGAACCCCCCAGCGCCTAAGAGAAGTAAGAAATGTTACATCACACAAACCAGGTTGCATGGAAACTTGGGAACCGTCTACTTGACACACAGGGATGGATGAGGACTGGTTGTAAGCAGATGCGGTTTGATCGAAATTATATGAAGCAGCTGACTGTGCTCCAAACATTGAACCAGGAACCCCAGCAGCTGGATTTCCTTGTTGGGAAAGTGCATAACCCTGAAGTAATTGGGCATTTTGGTCACCACTTGCTGTAGGATAGTGGAAGGGAGGATATCCAGCTTGACTTGCTTGTTGCATATTCGCATAAGCGAATTCTACAAATAAAAACATAACCGTAATAAGTTTTCGCATGTACCTACATTAGTAAACGATTTAAAATATGTAAAAAGTAGGAACAAACCTGCCCTGCATTCCTATCTCACCCATAGACAAGCAACTGGACTAATTTAACACCATTATATTCAATGCACACTCAACAGGTACTGAACTGGTTTCAAATACATAACTTGTAGAAAAAGAATACCTATTATAATTCTCAGTCGAAATAAGCTGAGTCCAAACTGACAGTTACGCAACCAGTTTCCCCAAATTTTTAAAACTTATTATTACGGATCTATGTTTCTGCTTACCTGGAACTTTTGCGCTTCCTGCCGAAACACAACCCATTTATTTCCAACAGTGATTAGCTGAGTTGAGAAAATTATGCATATTCGAGTAGCTGCGATGGAAAGTACTCTCAGGGATATCATATTGACCAGAAAACCAACAAGCAAAAAGGTAATACTAGGTTTTGAGATGAGATTAACGAAGATCCCAAAGTACATGAAAAGAGCTCTCTGTATTGTCATTATTGACAACGTATACGTCAATAAAAGTGAAATTAATACTCTTTAGTGCAAGTTCTACCCACCCACGTCTACATATAACAGTATCTCCCTGAACTAAAACCGTGAATGTTGCACGTGTCGCATTAAAACCTATACGAGAAAACAACAATTAGAATACTGAATCGAATAGACCTAATCTAGGAGAAAAACGAAGATCTAATATAAGCAGTAGGTCGTCGGACGCTAACATGGTAGTACACAGGAGAATGATTTAGGGCCACATCACCGAGTCTCTTACTACTGGTTCTAAGTGTTTCGGGGTTCCCACCCAAGCAGTGAACACCAATACGTGGCTTAAACCAGAAGGCAGCCTTCATGAATTGATATTTTGGTCTAACCAAAGCATTACTCGATGCGGAAAGTGGTCCTGCATGCACTAAGCGTCCCCTAGGCATCTCAACGATGCAGTATCACCTCACCGACTGACCTGCCTTCCTTACCTGACACTATGCCTAACCACCGTACTTCCCGTCATGTTTTTAATCTGTTAAGTTCCTAGTGGAACACAGGGTTTCAAGCTAGAGGCTTGAAGTTTCTGTGGCAGTGGTGATTTTTTTACAGGATGGGGTTGCTAGCCTCATGCCTAACCTTCCCTCTTCGCCAGCCTTACTACTGGCTTAGCGAGGTAAATGTATGTCGACCGCGGATCGAACGCCGAACCACCTGCGTGGTCGGCGAGCACTCTACCGCTGTGCCACCATATAACACTTCGTAACATGGCGGATTTAAAGCAAACACCTGTAATGAAAACAAATAGCTTTTTCACATCCACTTTCATTATCCACGTATCACAGAGAACTGCTTTGTAGTAAAAACGTCCTTCGATCAATACTCGGATATCATGTCGACAAATATCAAACAAGCTTTTTATATGCTTGCTAATGTTACTTTTAGGACCAGTAGGTGGGGGAAGAACTTGCCCTATAGATGAGGTGACCACGTCCAGCCATATAACTGCCTACAAGTAAGAGTCGGTACAGAGCAGTTCTGAAACATCACCTTAAATATGAAAAAGAGGAAACGCCAAACACAGACTCCTGCTTCAGTCATTTCGAAGACTGCCTATGAAATCGTGATCTAGGACAAAATATGCATATTATGTGTCAACAAGAACCCCCTGGATTTACTTTTCAATACTTGAGTCACATCCATTAGTGAGCCTATGGTGAATTCGAACAAAAACGGAGACAACAACTGTCCCTGATGGATACCACTGTAAGTCATAGCTTTACAACTCTCCGAAAGCCTCTACGCGGTTGCGTGAGGTCTTAGAGTGCCTTCTTGCATTGAAGTGCATCGGAATGACAATTACCAACTAACGTAGTGTACGCTCTACCGCCGTGCAGCATGGTATGATCTTTATGTAAAGCATAGTTGCTAGATTAGAAAGCAGCAGTTCAGTTCCAGCCACGGTTGAGATGCCATGAATGATCAGGTGGGAATACTTTAAGATCAAAATACTGCGTATGCAAAAGTTCACAGTGTCGGAGATTACCATTTAGGCGGGATACTAAGCTCTTATTACAGTACAAAACGCAAACAAGCAAACTCACGGTCGGCCATCTCGGTATTGCGGGATAAAGTCCGTTGCCACTAATTAAAACAGTGTAGCGCAATAGTGAAAAGATTCAATCTTCACTAACATGGTCACATTTCAGAGTGAAAGAATTGAAACATATTCCATTCCGTGATAAACTTATGCTGCAATATTTTTTATCATTCTTCTTCCGCCAAACCCCAATATCTCACTACATACTGCAGAATTTAGATTCTCTCATAGGGTGGTCAACAAGTGGAACTCCTTGCCTGATTCACTAGTATCAGCTCCATCGGTGAACGCTCTCAAAAAGAAGTTAGATCTCTGCAGAGATATATTTCGCAAGCATTAACACAGGCTACAAGAGCCTACTACCCTAATCATCTGAATGTGAGTCAGATTCACCTACAGTTATACATTCTAACTTCCTGGTGTGCTTATCTTTCATGAAAATGTACAACAGTCTTTTTAAATATTTGTGTATTACTACGCAGTTATAGAGTAGATAAGGGAAGCCAACCTCTCTTCTCGGTAATTTAGCTGGCATTTCATCCGGAAGAATGATTTATGAAAATAAATTTGCCCACTTACGCTGTACGCAGTGAGTTATGTAGCCGGCAGACCGTTAAAATGTCATATACTGCTGTTTTCTAAGAATGTTCTTAGATCAGTAGTTAAGTATCAAAATAAAGCTCAGGCACAGCTCCCGTAGTTTATCCCTTCGAGTACTTGACAACCACCCATGATGGAGTGTGATATAATTCTCATTTCTCCCAATCTTATGTTCGGTTAAAACATAAATGAAGAGTAGCATGACAACCTCAAACAATTAAGCTAATGTTTCTAGTCCCACTTTCTCCTGTGGATTTATACATCTGGACGAATGCAAGCCTTGTCGTATGTGGGTAGTTTTAGTGAAACTTACTCATCGTTGTGTTGGGGTCAAACAAGTTACTGCGACGTCCCTTCCCGGTGTACTTTGATGTCTCGTAAGAAATTCTCACTGTCAAACCTGAAATCACTTTACTGAATGATGACTGCCACTCACCGGGTTAAGATGAGATGAATGAAGTAAATAAACTTTGAAGTTCTGGAAAGACCTAGATTAAGCTAGAGTTGTGCGAAAGTGGGTGAGCGCATGGTAAGATTTGGAACCACTTATTCAGTTTTCAAGAGGGCGAAGGTAAATGGCCAGGTGTTCATCATTAGTAACAGGTTGTTACCCTTAGGGATAGCGTATGTGCGAATTAGGGCAGTTTTTCTTGGAGTATTTGTAAAACATTGACATTTGGTCCCCTGCTGTGACAATTTTCCGTACCAGCCTCAAGGAAAAGTTTCTTATGCCGAAGACGACTTCCACGAACATGGCGCAACCGAACTACAATCACAATTTTCTACAGTTGCGTGCGCTTTGTCTAAGTAATCGAACACCTACGTCACATTATACATGGTTGTCTCGGAAATAAGTAGCCTAGGAAATTTTCAAATCAAGTACCCATCTACACATTAACGCGGGTGCGTGTAGTCATACTTGACACTGAAGATCTAAGTTGCCATAGTCAATACAAAATGTTCCTGCAATCCTTCTTGCAGTCTACATTAATTATAAAAAGCTGGAAATATCTCAACAGTCTCTTCATGTGGTATTAATAAATTACTGCGAAGTCACCAAGCACTAAAACTGATCAACGTCCCACACTCAGTATCCCCCGCAGCTGTCCACTCTCCTGTCGAAACTCATGTGGACACAGCAGCTCTCTTGAGAGAAGTGAACCACTTGGGAGTGAGAACCTAATGTAGGTGTGTATCGTAATACTTATTACCAGGAAGCAAAGTTCTGCAGGAGACCTTGAAATTTTGCAAACATTGTAACAATCGGGTAAATCATGTCAAAGACATGCAACCGCGGATACTGTAGGTGATAGCTATCAACCCTATATACCGGCCGTCACTGTTAATTTTCAATGATTCTCCGAAACCGTTGAGGAAATGATTTCCCTACTGACCACAAACATTAACTGCCAGAAAATGATCGACTTTTGGTGTTCAAGCGGCATATGGAAAACTGATCATTATTTTAAGGTGAAAGTACATTTTACTGATTCCACTTTTACGTAAAACTACTCATTCGACTTCCACGCTTGCAGACGTCACTGGACCTACAACAGGTACAGATTTTCTTAACCTACTCCTAGAATGTCACCCATATCTGTTGCCAAATACTATCGCAGAACTTCGCATCAGGATAGCCACCTACCTAGACTAGGACTTAGCGTTGGTCCAAATGCGTACTCTGGTTGACTCAACATTTCAACCGGGCAGAAACGAGTATCCGAAACTAATGTATCAAATAAATGATCCGCAACTCATAACCGTCTAGTTTTCAGAAAATATACATACACAAGAAGTTAGTGTCGTACCTCGTGCCCCCATTTTCTTGTTGTTTTTGGTTAGGAAACATTTGTCTTCCCACATCACACACTTATCTCATTCTTCTATTGTGTCAGTAATATCATGCAGATTAAGTGCCTTTACTCGATACCCCTTATTTTTCAGCACTGTGCACTTGGGCACAAATCCAACGATCTTGCTTTATTTTTTGCGATTTCCCCGCTTCAGATATAGCAAAAATGGGCAAAAATGGAATAAACACGATAGATAATAGTTCGATGTATGTCAAATTTATATACACTGCCCCTCCAAGTAACAAACAAACAACCACAGGTTTAATAAATATCAATACACCCATCAGAAGAGTTTTATTAGTGATATTGTCTTAGAGATGTACAACCCCACCAAGAGGTGTGGTTATTTATCTAAAGTAGCGAATAACTCCGCAAATCAGCGGCCAATGGCTTCGGAAACATTCGGCATTGGGTGCTGGGTGTCACTTTTTAAGCTTTGTGGACACTTGGTGTCTACATTCACAATACGCACCGGTCAAAAGAATCAAGTTGCTATTCAGTCCATCAACAAGAACAGAAGATAAATGCAGGACTTAATAAACAGATGCTACCGGGATACGAGGATGATATGTATTTTAGCCGGCCTGACAGACAGAATTTTTTAGTTACTTTGAGGTCCTGTAAGCTATGCTCGCACCGCCTATCTTCGCATATAATGATATGGGCGATATCCCCTTAACTTCAAATCAGTGTGAACCGCCTAATATTTGCACATAGACCCAGAGAAAGGCCACTAGGCCCTATATCTTCATTTGATAATGCCTGCACTCATATGTCTTTGTGTTCAGTGGTAACTGGTAGTGAAAGTTTAACATTTGATCGAGGTTGTAACCTACATGTGTTCTCAGTTCTTGGTGTAGTGAAAATTCTAATGTTTAAAAACTTTACATGCATGCACACTCGTTCTAACGTCATTTTTGCGCTTTCCAACTGTGCTGGCAAAATGAATATTGTCTGAGTTTGCAACAAAGACATATTCATGAAATGAATTCTAGAACGAGGCGAATTAAGTTAAAAGGGCTAACGAAAAGGTGGTTCATCAAAGGCACAGGCAATACAGAACATGGGCACCCTGCACTAAATGCCCGGAACGAGCTCCCATTTAGAAGTTTCTCATGTGATCATTTTCCCGGTTGCTGTAGTAATAAGTTACTGATGATGAAGCAGTAGGAATAGTACGCCGTGAACACCAAGGAGATTTCCTTTCCTGGCAGAAAA